ACTATCTATCATGTTCTTTTTTTGCTCATCATTTTTTTTTTTTTTATTAATATTATTATCTTCGATCTTTCCATCCGATTTGCTTCTTTTCTTTGCCATTTCACCGCCATCATCATCAGCATGATTTATATTAGTATTTAGATTATTGTGCCAAACTGGTTTATAAACATAATTAGGATACGTTAATTTATGTTTAACATTAGCTGCCATACTTAATATTTGAAAAAATTGTTTTACTTCAGAAGATTGAGAATTCCAAATGTTTGCAATCAATTTGGATTTTTCTCGATTATTCAAATTCGTCATTTGGGATTCTGCTTTAAGTTTGGCATTATAATCAGTTCTAAAAAGAATGAATGGATTTTGAGGTCTAGGTGAATTACTATTACTATTACTATTATTACTGTTATTTTTGTTATTATTAATATTACTATCGTTATTATTATTAATGTTGGTGGCATTATTATTATTGCCATTATTAACGTTGTTGTTTTTGTTATTTCTATTGTTTCTTTTATATTTTCTAACAACCCTATTGTTATTATTAGTTCGTAATAACTTTGGTTTAATTAGTTCGTCAATTGGCAACGTCAATTTATAAGGTGGATTGGTGGTTAGTCTTTTCAATAATCTTTCTAAATTCGATTGACATTCTTCATTACGTGTCGATGATGATGATGACGACGATGACGATGGCGATGATGATGAATATGAATGAATGGTGATTGGAAATGAAGTGTTGTTGTTGCCGTTGTTACCGTTGTGGCCGTTGTGGCCATCATTGTTTTCTGTTGAAATGAATTCATTTAATGGCATCACAAATGTAAAAGTACTGATACTACTAATACTACCTGAACTAGCACCAGCACCAGCACCAGCATTAGAACCAGTATTACCAGTACTATTACTACGAGCACGCTTTGATGAATTTTTCCATGTTTTTGATCATATATATTCATTCATGCATTCATAATATGCTTATTGGTGTATTTATATTTATTTAGTTTTAATATAATATATTATA